TATCGTAGTAACATTTAGTTTATGTAAAAAATAAATGTTTATAAATATGTTAATATACGTTTCTTAAATCTAAAAGTGTTAGCAGAAATATTTTATCACGTCACAATTTCTTTCTGCAGTCGAATGTTTTTTTTTAACTACCTAACGTGGTGATAACAGTTTATTGTTTATTCGTTCGCTTCAAACGACAATTATTTTGTTTCGGATTGATTTAAAATGTCGAGTGGAGAGTGTAAACAAAGTTCGGATCGTTTTTGTTATGACATGTTATGGACAGTTTATATTTTCAAAAAAGAGAAGACCCATTGTAGATTCGTTGAAAAAGTGCATATCTTCATTATTTTGGATTTTCTGTTGCAAATCAAGATAAAAAAGTGGGTGCCTCGTGTTTTGCGAAAGCTGTAGAATCGTTTTATTCCCGTGGTCATCAGGAGAAAGCGTTCACCTTCTATTTGGTTCACCAATGCTATGGTGTGTTATTTGGATTACAGGGTGGTTACACAAAATACTGTTATTTCCTTTGTTTGTGGGATAGTGGAGCGAAACAACATCATCATGTTAGAAAAGAATGGCCTATTTGGATGAGTATATTCCGGGCAAAATGAACGTTAAATACGTTGTTGGTAGATCCCAATAACATCACCACCCCCTTTACACCAAATTGGGGCTTATGAAAAATTTTGTGAAGACGCTTGAGAAAAACAGTGATACTATCCGGTATATTCGAAAAATCTTTCCAAACATTACAGAGGGAAAGTTGAAAGAGATTCTCGGTTTGAAAACCTTTTATCCAATAATGAAAAATCTGCTTGGAAGCCATTCAAAATGGTTGTAGGAATTTTTTGGGAAATAAAAAAGTGAAAATTACAAAGAAATTGTTACCGATTTATTGGAAAATTTTCAAAAGGTGGGAGTAAACATGTCATTAAAGATTCATTTTCTGCACTCGCATCCAAATTTTTCCCTGAAAACTTAGGAAGTACGAGTGATGAACAAGGGGAATGTTTTCACCAAGATTTAAAGGTTTTAGAAGAACGACATCAAGGATTTTGGGATAAAACGTATTGGGGGATTACTGCTGGTCCATTATAAGAGAAACTAATTCAAATAGTTATAAAAAGTACGAAAAAATTACTAATTTTTAATTTTTTTTTTTTTTAGTAGGTATTAATACCAAAATTATTTTTAATTAAGTTGATAAATATTTCTTAAACTAGATGTGACAGAATTTATTTATTATTTTTTTTTGAATAACTCTACATAAATGAATAACAAAATAACAACTTTCAGCTGGGGTATGAAAACCGTGTAAACTAGTGTAATTATTAACATCATCTTTTTCACCTTTCTTAAACAATGGTTTAATTATTGATACTCCAAGCTTTTTTGGGAAAGTACTGTTGAAAAGGATAGATTTATAAGATGTGTAAGTATTTTTATAAAATTATCGATGGAAGTTTTAATAGGTAATATTGGTACATATTCCGTCATAGCCAGTTGTTTTTGAGTTATTAACCCAGATGTTACTGTAACTATTTTTTGTTTTCGATCTTGATGATATTCGGATATGATAGTTAAAATGACTCATAATAACCAGGAAAAATAGTAAAAAAAAATTCATGTTTTCAGAAAAGCCGGAAAAGGGTGGGCTTTTAAAAGTCCCGTCGTAATATGGGGATTGTTTACATGTATGTGGCGGTCTAATAATAAAACAAACTGTTATTATATTAGTTTTTTATTATTACGGAAAATTTTAACTATACAAAAGAAAATAGACATAGGTATAGCAAGTTATGTGATATGATGTCTCACAATAAAACAACAGCACTTCACTAAGTATATCACACTAAAAGTCAGTAAAGTTCACTAACTTTACTGAGTTTTAGTGTGATATTCAAGGAAACAGTTCTTAGGATGTAAATGAATCTTACACTTTTGGCAAATAAAAAAACTTTTAACTTTGCAAGCTTTGCATCTTAGTTGGGGAGCGCTGTACTGGACCAAGTGATCAACCCCATCATATCGAGATGATTCAAGATGAGATCTACCTGTGGGACATGGTCCTCTCTTATCGCTTTTTTTGTAGCTTTCGAGCAAACCTTTTGCCAGTAGTCTACGAAAAGTGAGATGATCATGTTCTCCACCGTCTCGCTTGTAAAGTTGCCATGCATTATGCACAGCCATATCTAAGGTGTGACAAAACAGTGAAAAATACCATTTCTTGCCACGAATAGAAGTCCGATACAACCCTATGTTTTGATCGGATCTATCGACCCCTCCCATATTTTCATTGTATTTTCTTATAACCGACGGTTGGTCAATATGTACAAATCTTTTTTAGTTCTTGCGAAAATCTCTTGACTTTTTGCAGGGGCTCCACAGTTTCAGTATTCGAGGCAACAGTAACGACACTATTGTCATTCCACTTGCAAACCAAAATGTTGGTAGGCAAACTGGATTTGAATACAAATGAACCTCTATCAGTATTTTTGAAATCTTTGTTAGACTCGAGAGGACACTTGGACGTTCTGTTTTCACGAATAGTTCCAGTGGCTCTCAGACCTCTATTACTAAGTTCATGCAGTAGAGGAATAGAGGAAAAATAATTGTCGAAGAATAAATGAAATGGCAATGTTGGATCACGACCTTGTAGAACATCAGCAAACTCCAAAATCACACTCCCACCTAGACCAAACTGTTTGTAACCTTCTGCAATGTTTGAAGATTTTCCCTGGTAAGGATCAAACCAAATCACGTAGCCTAATCTTGTAGCACCAACCCACAGTTTATACCCCCAACGAATTGGTTTGCCACGTATAAACTGTTTGCAACTGTGACGTCCATAGTATGGAACCATAGCCTCATCTATGCTGTAGTTCTCTTCTAGCGGAGCCATTTCAGTAAAGATTTTATTTAACTCGTCAAACAGAGGTCTCAACTTAGCGAATTTGTCAGGAGAATCACCAAGAACTGTATTATCACAGCAGTGGAGATTTGACATAATAAAAGTAAAACGATCTCTTGACATAGCGTTGTGCACAATCCTAAAGTCGGCATCTGTCGATGTCTCCCAATACATAAACCTACGGGGTACTACTACATATCCGCTGTACATAAGGATGCCCAAGAAACACTTCATTTCAGAAACAGTTACTTTGCCCACTTTATTCCTCTGTCCTGCGTACAAATTGGTATATCGCACTAGTAATTCAATAACATTGTTGTTGAACAAGCAGTCGAAATAATATAAGGGTGATTGTAAGTTTTTTGGACCTTGTTCGTCATTCCATTGATTGAAATGGTTTGGAATATGACGATTCTTCCATCTATAGGTTTGGTTTCGGGGAACTGTAGGCTGAACAAATGTAGAATTAGTTGACACATCTGAAGTACAAGAAGGTACGGCGTCACTATCTTCTAAAGTCAAATCCATCGTGCGTCTTCTTTTTGACAAACTTGACAAAGGTACATCATCTTCTTCGTCGGAACTCATATGAAAAGTGACCTCGGCTGGAGCTCGTAGTTGAGAGCCTATAAAAACAGATATAAATATTGCAACCATATAAATAAAACAAGATAGAATCATTGATACGTAGTTATATCAACCCGAAAACAAATATTTCACCTGGTAGATTTTGCAATGCAACAAATTCTTCATCTCCAGAATCCTCATCTGTGACGTCGGCATTAGCGTTCTCAGGTGGAAAAATTGTAATTTGAGTTGGCAACAAATCATCATCCTCACATCGCTCTAATTCATCAACTATATCGTTGAGATTGAGTGCTCTCAAAGGTCGCGTGCTAAAAAGAAAATAATAATATTATAGACCCCCATATTGCGACGGGACTTTTAAAAGGCCATCAATTTGAAACGTGAAAAACTAATGAGTTTTTGTTGCATCAAAACAAATAGATAACCTGATATTGTAGATAATATATCTAAAATTAAATATCAAAATGTATTAGCAACAACATCCAAATATATAAATGATAAAAGCTTACCTTTGTCCAGACATCATGACACTAATACTCCTAAGTCTTCAATGACACAAAAACTTTAAATAAACAAGTGTCTAGTTGTAAACAACACCGCATGAAATCATACACGGATAGGTACTAAGTAACCTGACATTGCAAATATCTTAGAGAATTCATTTTAACAACTCGAAACTTGAAGGTATTTTTAATAATTTTTTCGGGTCTTTTAAAAGCCCCGTCGCAGTATCTGGGTTAAGAGATATGACTGCATATCTGGATTCTTTTTCTGACATTTCTCTTAGAAACATTGACTTGAGCTCTGTAGAATTACTTTTAAGTTTATTATTATTAGTTATATTATTGCTGATGTTATTGTTGTGAGTCATGTTAATAAAAAAAGTTGTTGAGGTTATTTGCTATATCAGTTGGGTCAGTTAAAATAGTATTGTTATCTTTTATATTAATAATGTCAATATTTTTTGAATTATTACCTATTTCATTATTTACAATTATCCACGAAGTTTTGCACTTATTTATGCTCGTGTTGATCAAATATATATTTCTTTTTTTTTTTGGATAAGTAAATACATTTTTTAAGATTTTTGAATAATTTGTATAGGTATGTTTACTAAAGATGTCTTTGTTCATATAATATTTATATCTAAGTAATCTTTTCCGTTTGCAGCTAATCCTTAGTCCTTTACTTATCCATTTAGCTTTGTTGTATGTATTGTTTATCTTTATTTTCATTTGCGGGAAACATAGATTGTAAAGTAGGAGAAATAAGTCATGGAATTTTTTAAATGCTCTCTTTGTATCGGTTTCTTCTAAAATATCATTAAATGTAAAACTGCCAAGATAGCCATTAAATTTTTCTATATTTTCAGATCAGTAATCTCTTTTGTAAACGTAATAGGATCTAGGTTTTTGTTTCACAGATTTAACCGGTATTTTCAGCACAACGATATGCGTTGGCGCAACCAAATATAAATATTATGAAATAAATATTCAGAATTGCCACAATGGAGGAAAACGTTTCAGAGATCAATCATATCAAGGACAAGCTTACCATAACACGCGTTGATTTTGATCGCGTCCACCATGAAATCTTACTTAAGGAGCAGTGGTCTCGGCTGAACAATATCGAGATCAAGGGTGTGCCTATTAAAACCGGTGAGAACCTATTTCAGATTCATGAAGCTCTCTGCAAAGCCATCGGTTTCGACGTCCCCAAATCCCAAATAGATTATATCGCCCGAGTTCCCACGCATAACTTGAAAGATAAATTAATACACAAAAGAAGATTTCATTGCAACCGCTCGCGCTAAGAAGGAATTATATGCTAAGGACATAGGATTCGCAGGAAGCAAGAACCGCATCTTTGTAATGACCACCTAACACCACACTTTAAATCATTGCTGACAAAGGTGAAGGCCCTCGCTAAGATGAAAAACTACAGCTATGTGTGGGTGAAGTTCGGCAAAATTCATGTGCGCAAAAAACGATACCAGTCATACTTTTATTGTACAAAAGAAAGTGATTTAAACAAAATTGCCTAATCAACTTTAAGTCCTTATTTTTATATAACTTAATTCTATTAGCATTACTAACTATTGTATTTTGCTATGACATAAATTTACTACGCAATTCTTACCTACGCGCCTTCCCTATTGTGCTATCGTTTGACTTGCCAAACCGGTTATTTTTGCCGCTTATCATCGATCCCGTCGACCGCTTATTGTTTACTTCATACCTGCATATTTATTTGTTCTATTTTTTTACTTGCTCGCACTATCTCGCTTATTAAACATTGCTTAATCATTTATATATCCTTTTTACGTATACTTATTTTGAACTCCGTGTCTATAAATTTTCCATAGCCTCTGCCATAACTTTGTGCTTTATATTAAGACTCATTCTTTACTTAAAAATTGATAACGTAACTAAAAATAGTCTAAGCATTTATTATCAAAATGTCCGCGGGCTTCGTTCGAAAACAACGGTATTTTTCCGTAATTTATGCATGAGCACTTACGACGATTATAATCCTCACGGAAACGTGGCTACTTGATGGAATTTTCGACTCAGAACTATTTGATGATAGATATATTGTATGGAAGCGTGATCGCGATTATAGCTTAACCCATCAAACACGAGGAGGCGGTGTATTAATAGCTATACATAAATGGCTCGCCTGCACAATACAACCAACATATTTTTCTACCGCTGAAGACTTGTGGGTGACGATATCATTACACAATAATAAAACGAATACCAAAACAAATTTGCATATATGTGTGCTATACCTATGTAGTCAAAACACTGGTAATAGTTTCTCTGTGCAACAAAAAAATTTTTTAACCAACTTAGAACGATTTATGTCAACATATTCTGATGATAGGTTTTTAGAAAGAAAGAAAGAAAGAAATATTTATTGCAGCACGCCACAAACATCAGTAGGCACTTAAATTTTGACACATCAATTATAAACATTATAACAAACAAAAACAAAAATAGGAAACAAAACCACAATTTGACGGATAAAACAATTTAAAAGTATTAATACTTATAGATTATAATTTAAAAAAAATAGAAAGACAAAAAGAATCGTTTCTCATATTGTACGAGTATGTTGTGGCGCGTCATACAAACGGACCTCACTCAGCTTGTGCTGTCGCCGGAGCAACAGCGCTGGTTTTCAGTGGGCCCGAACGGATAATAACTAGTAGTAATTTAATGTAATTTTAGTGGCAGGCGACTTCAACTTAAGTGCTATATCATGGCTTCCCAATGGTGGTCATTTTGTACCAATGGGAAATAAAACATTTGACGAAAATTTACTAGTTGACGAACTAAATCTTTTGGGTCTAAATCAATATAACGGCGTTGTGAACGCACATGGTAAAATTTTAGACTTAGTTCTGTCAAACTTTACTCAGGTAGTCACCAATTGTTGTGACCCTCTTGTTCCCATTGATCTACACCACGGGGCACTCCTAATTGAATCTCATCTTCTTGATTTCATACCACTAAGGCCAGCCCCTCGCGATAGGTTTCTGTACAACAAAGGCGACTAAAAATCAATCAATACCGAGCTGCTCAAAATCTATTGGGCTAGCGAATTTCATTCAAGAACGCTAGATGAATGCGTCGATTATTTCTACTCAACCTTCCATATTTTGAGAGATAAATTTATTCCATCCAAAACTATTGTTAAACATCAATACCCACCTTGGTACTCTCTAGCGTTAATTAAGGTGATCAAGGAACAATATAAATATCATAAAAAATTTAAAATTTACAATAATCGCAGTGATTATGAGTCTATGAAATTACTTCGAGTTAGGGCAAAAGCCTTAGAGAGTAAATGTTACACTGACTACCTAACATCTGTTGAAAACTATTACTAAAAACCCTAAAAACTTCTGGAGTTTTACAAAATCGCGCTCGAATTCAAACGTTATGCCTAGTACTCTTTTTTATAACCATAAAGTAGTCAAAACTGGCAACAGTATTTGCGAAGCGTTCTCAGAATACTTTAGTTCTTACTTCTTGGATGATACTAGTACACAGCCTACCTCTGATCCTGCCCATATTGACTATCCACCTTCTATTGCGGATATCTCCAAAATCTACGTCAGTGTACAAACCGTCCTCAATCTCTTGCTCAAACTTGACCAATGTAAATCTGCTGGTCCAGATCACCTGCCGGCCTTATTTTTAATAAATTGTGCAGGGTCACTGGTAACGCCTGTAACTCTCCTATTTAATAAGTCTCTAGCAGAATGTACTGTTCCTGCTATCTGGAAATCGGCCTTCATCACTCCAATACACAAAAAGGGCTCTAGAGATCAGGTTAATAACTACAGGCCTATTTCCAAGTTATGCATACTAAGTAAAGTCCTCGAAAAAATAGTGCACTCTCAATTATATTTAGCTATTAGACAATCACTTCACGACTTTCAGCATGGTTTCCTCCCCGGTAGATCTACTGTCACAAACCTTACTCAATGACTTTCTTACAGATTCCATGGATAAAGGCCATCAAATTGATGTCATCTATACTGATTACAGTAAGGCCTTCGACCGGATTAACCATAGTCGCCTCCTATACAAGCTTAACTGTGTTGGCATAAGCGGAGATTTACTTCGCTGGTTTTCCTCGTATATAGAGAACAGAACACAAGCTGTAGTGGTAAATAATTACATTTCTAGCTGGGTTAAGATCCCTAGTGGTGTTCCCCAGGGCTCGCTACTGGCACCTTTACTCTTTGCTATTTTTGTCAATGATATCAACAACTGTCTGTGTAACTCTCGTCTATTATGTTTCGCAGATGACATGAAAATCTTTTCAAATATTTCTTCATTAAAAGACGCAGAAGCATTACAAAATGACTTGAGAAACTTACTTGATTATTGTACCTATAACCATCTCGATCTCAATCCTACAAAATGCTCAGTTGTTACATTTAGCCGTAAATCCAATAAATTGCTGTACGATTACCAGATTCGAGGCCAATCGTTGTCCAGAGATTGCTCCATACGCGACTTGGGAGTTATACACGACTCGAAACTTTTGTTCGATAAACATATCGAAAATATCATTGGCTGGTCTGCCAGAGCCTTAGGGTTTGTGATGCGTTGCTCTAAAAACTTTAAACAAATTAAAACATTGAAAATTTTGTATTGTTGTTACATAAGAAGTATTTTGGAATATGCATCACAGATATGGAACCCTCAATAGAAAACCTATATATCTCGAATTGAACGTATCCAGATGAAATTCATTAAACACCTTTGCTACTGAGTAAATAACCACTACAACTCTAACCTCTATGCTACCGAGTAAATAACCACTACAACTCTAACCTCTACCATGATAAGTGTAGAAAGTTCCACCTCTTACCACTTGAAATGCGAAGGCAAATAGCAGATATTACCTTTCTACTTAAGATAGCTTCAAGCGAGATCGACTGTCCAGATCTACTTGAGAAGTTAAATACGAGTATCAAAATTCCAAAAAATGTTAGACGAAAGGTCCCACTATCACTACCCGCTGCAAAGACTAATTATAAGCAGAATAGTTATATGTACCGTGCGAGCAAGAATTTTAATATTGTATCCCAACTGTTTAACTTAGACCTATTCAACACAAGTATCATTTCGGCGAGACGAGTTCTGAGTAAGCCTTTTTTCAATTCCAGCTGATGATCTTTCTCATTTCTTTTTATTTTATTTTATTTTTATATTTTTTGCTTTTGTTAATCCGTAATGTTTAGTTATTTAATGCACGATGTTATTTAGCTTAGCTTACAGTTGGTGCGACAGTGTCCTATTAGCTGTCGGTAACTCATCGCATGCAATTATTTATATAGTGCCACTATTTGCGAAAACCCATAAATGGTTTCCTATTGTTTAATTGTTTTCTACCTACTCTGTTTTTTGTTAACCGAGGGATTTCCGATTAAATAAATAAATAAATTATGTTGGTAGAATATTTATGTCAAGGCTCGACTGTACCGAAAGGACCTTCCCCACCAAAGAGCATAGTAATATTTAGGGGTGCGCTAGCACTTATTCGATGCGTCTCTCTAGTCTTATTAGTAGTTTGTTTTTAGAAGTGACCCATAGATATGTAGCAAACTAATGCCCCTATTACACCACACTGAATCCGGACCCTAAATGAAGTGTGGGCGTGGCCCTTAGTTAGGGACGTCAGTTATTACACTACCCTGATTTGACGCCCTTACTCAGTCATAGGGATGGACAAGTGAAAAAAGTATATATATTGAATCTATATTTTTAAAGTAATTGTAACAATTCATTTACTGTGTTTCGTCCTGCTAACTCTAGTTGCGTAATTCGAGTTTACCCTGGGTGCCTAGCGATTGTAGGTAATTATTTCACGCAGGTAGCAAGAGTGACAGAGGGCTGGTAACAGTTAGTTCAGTATCTTCTTCTCTTCTTCAATATTAAAACACAACCTACATAAATACAGCCCACTAAGCTCTCATTCATTACACAATAGTTTCTTTAAGTTTATTAGTCACACAGATATCACAATTTTTTAGTTTCTTCTTTCTTCACCACAGTAAATTATAATAAATAATTAGTCAAATACAGTCCACTTAGCTCTCCATCTACAATACATATCAACGATAATCGTTAATAGCAGTGTTCCATTTCAGGCTTACTTCACGTACTAATTTCTAATTTTATGGCTAGTTGTGGGGTAAATTTTTCCTCACACTTGTAACCCTAAATATAGTGACGTATTTTCTTTTGTCCCTTTCTGCGACACGCTATGGCGGAGTCTATAGGATTCTCT